TTCTTCAACTTCCCTAGCATTTCTAAAATTTCCTGTTAGAAGATTGTATAACTTTTGAGAACATGGAGGAAGTATGGAAGTCTTCATTTACTCTGTTTTGGTTTTGCTGCAATTTAAGTAACATGAGAACTTATAGGTGTTTTATTCAAATGTAGGAGGAACTAGTAAAGCTTGGTAAAGGAAAAAAGCCTCAGAAGACTATTTATGCAAGACTGTTGGCAAAGGCTTCCCATGCCTTAGCTGAGGTATGTATAATGAACATCTGCTTAACCACTACAGTTCTTTAAAGTAAATGAAAAAGTAAATGCTTCCAGTGGTTGGGGAAAGGCTCTTAGAGTTCTGTTCGCTATCAGGTTCCGGGTTTGAATCCTGGGCCTGACAACAGGGGATAGGAAGGGTGTGGGAAGGGGTGGAAGGGTAAAAAATATATATAATAATAATAAATTTGATAATGCTACATGTCAGGGACAGAACAAACCAGAGCCGGAGGACTTGTGGGTGGATCATGACAATGCTTCATTCTGGAAACCTTGTGCTGATCAGCGCGATTGGGAACCTAGTGGTCTCTCTCTCTCTCTCTCTCTCTCTCTCTCTCACAAACACACACACACACACACCCCTCCCTGCAAGTATCACCAACATACCTTGTAACTATTGGGTTTGAGACCTTTGTTGGGCTAATATTTGCATCAATTGGTTTGCACATTTCTCAGAAGGAAATAATGGTTACATAATGGTTACTGCAAATGGTGGCATAAACCAGCAGCGAGTTGCTGTAAGTTATGTCTATGATGCATTTTCTACTTTCCCATATCCATGGTGCAAATAACTCTTCTTTAGGAGTTCATCTCACAAATAATTCCTAGCCTTTCAAGCCATATATTGCAACTTTAATTTTTCCAATTATCATGCCACCCTCTGGCAGTAAAATGTTAAAATCTTTTGAAAACAGATATGCAATGCTGTTGCTGTTGCCAGATTACTTAATGCAACACTTGTTCTTCCGGGCTTAATGTACAGCAGTGTGTGGAGAGACGCAAGGTAAATATTACTACTGATTGCATGGAAAGCCTCTTGATATATATGTATAATTACTGTCTGTTATGTTGATTTTTCCTTTTTGGATTTTGTACGAGTTTTAATACATACGTACAAGATCACTGTGAAGGTCCTCTTATTACTTTCTCCTTCATGTGCCTTCCTGATTCTGTCTATCATCTGGTGCAGTCTCTAAAATACTGCACCTTTAACAATTTTATTTACATGCATTATCCTATCTTCAGTAACACACTGTTTGAAACCAATAAATTTTCCTGACGTCTCCTGGAAAAGTCCTTTCATAATGCTTAAGATGTTCCACAAGTGGAAGATTGATGGGATAATTCTACTATTTCTTAGCCAGTTTTGGCAATATCTATCAGGAGGATCATTTTATCAATTATTTGAAGCCTGATGTTCGGATAGTGAAGGAGCTTCCAAAGCAGTTAAAATCATTAGATCTGGATGCTATTGGCAGTGTGGTTAGTTTCTTATCCTGTCAACTCTAGAGAATGTTTCCTATGTATAATATAATTCCAAATGCTTATAGATGTTGTTGCTTGAAACTCTGGTCTGAAATTGTTCAGGTCTCAGATGCTGATATAGTGAAAGAAGCCAAGCCAGGTTTTTACAAAAAGTACATCCTTCCCATTTTACATCTTAATCGAGTTGTACATTTTGTTGGATTTGGGAATCGCTTGGCATCTGACCCTATACCATTTAAGGTGCAGGTAAAATTATAGGCTCTTGACATTTATTGCTTGTCGACCTAGGATTAGCTTGGCAATGAATCCATGGAATGCCAACCTTTTGCACTTCTTTTTTTGCGTTTCTTTCCTACCTTGCTTCCTAATTTAAGGACTTCATCTAGAGACTTCGATGCAGATGTAATTTTCATGCACTGAGATTTGTACCTAAAATACAAGAAACTGGAGCTTTGCTGATTCAACGAATGCGTCAAAATATGTCTCACTGGGGCCGTTGGATAAACACCTTCTTGGTCCCTTGGCAGAACCCAAAAAGAAGGGGCAAAGATCTCATTCAACCAAAGCTTCCAGATATTTAGCTTTGCATCTCAGATTTGAAATTGACATGGTGGCACATTCTTTATGCGAATTTGGTGGGGGTAAAGAAGAACAGAAAGAATTGGAAGCTTATCGTGAAAAACACTTCCCTGCCTTGATAGAGCTAAAGAAGACTCAAAAGTATGCCATACTCAATTCTTCCTACATATCTGGTCTGAGTAAATCAGTTATTAGATTATGTTTGATCCATGACTTGTCATGGTATTCACATCTTTTCAATCGCTCAAGTGCTTAACCTGTTTTTCCTTTATCCATTTTGATGTACTGTCAAGGTGGTTAGAATCTGTGGAGTACGAAACTGTTTGTTGAACGGGTGTCACTCTCTTTTTTTGAATAGGCATCACTGGTTAAGTGAGACAACTAGTTGGCAGTATTCATAAGGTTTTGGCTGTATGTGTTAAAAGGTTTGCACATTTAAATGGCCAGCAAGTATACAAGTGTGACCTTTAATTGACTGTTATTTTACTGAAATTGTGTGCATAACTATTTAAGATTTGGTGTACAATGCAGAGTTTGCATAGAAAGATGAAGAAGCAAATTTATAGTGAGGAAATTGGATAGAGGACTAGGAAAGTGGGATTCCCAAGGCTTTACACTAATAGAGAGGACTTGCATTTGTGGAAACATTTTTCATCACATGATCTGCCTTAAAACTGATATAGAAAGCACCTTTATGATGGACTTGGGGACGAAGGGTATTCTCTCCAAATAAAAGTTAAACGTACACAAGAAATTGATTGCAAAATTTTGATGGTATTGACTCCACATGGCTGCTCTTAAACGCCTTACTGCTCTTTGACTACACTATAACGAAGCCAAAATTGCATTTTGACTAGAACATTCTACTGGTGAAACCTGTAGACAAACTTTTAAATTGCACTTTGAATTAAAAAATTGAGGATGGAATAGGGAACCCAACTTTAAGATCCTAAATATCTTCACTTTTTTTCTGCATAGGTGAATTATGTACTCAAATGATGAGTATTTTCATTGATGTCTGCTTTGTTTTTCCTAAATTTTTGTAGATTACCTTCCACGGCTGCTCTCAGAGAAGAAGGATTATGCCCATTGATGCCTGAGGAAACGGTGCTTATGCTTGCAGCCCTTGGTTTCAACCGAAAAACGCGCATTTATCTGGCAGGAGCACATATTTACGGAGGGAAGTCAAGATTGACTGCATTAACTACCTTGTTTCCTAATCTGGTTACTAAAGAGAACCTGCTCTCTTCAGCTGAAATTGAACCATTTGCAAATTTTTCATCTCAGGTAAACTTTTATCTTGCCATTAGCATTTGAGATCTAGCCAGTTAGTTTGACAAGGCATCTCCAAATAGTGTCATACCTCTTCTTTCTGTATTGCCGGAAAGTCGTTACTTGCTAACGGTGTATGCTATTTCTAATGTAAAATTTGGTTGTTAAACCCCTTGTAAACACTTCTGCAAAACAGAATTGCAGATGGGTATGCAGAAAGCTAATCATAGAAGTAATCAGCTTTTGTTTGGAAGTAGGTTACCAGCTCAAATTAACATAAAACACTGAATTTCTTATTTAACCTTCCGGCTTGAGGAGTGACATAATGACTTGACCGTGGAGTTGCTACTGTTGGATTTTTGTGCATTTCAACAAAAGAATGTAGTCTATTTACATATATTTTTCAATCTGCATCTTTCAGTTGTTGAATGGCTTGTTACTTGAAAATTTATTTGCAGTTAGCAGCACTGGACTTTATCACTTGCACAGCTGCAGACAATTTTGCCATGACAGACTCGGGGAGTCAATTTTCATCGTTGGTATCTGGTTACAGAATCTATTATGGTGGGGGAGAAATGCCAACAATTCGGCCAAACAAACGCAGGCTTGCTGACATATTTGTTAAGAACAACACGATAGAGTGGAGCGTGTTTGAGAAAAGAGTAAGGAAGGCTGTGAGACAAACCAAAAGGGTTTTCTCACGTCCTACTGGTCGGAGTGTGTATAGATATCCACGGTGTCCAGAGTGTATGTGCAGTGACCAGCCCTGATGTACTTTTTGGCGACTTTCTGTTAGCATTTAGGCAGTGTATTTGTAGGTAAAACATTCTTTCGTAAACATTCTTTTGGGCTTTTGATATCAGATTTTACAAGTGCTTAACCTGTTTTTCCTTTATCCATTTTGATGTACTGTCAAGGTGGTTAGAATCTGTGGAGTACGAAACTGTTTGTTGAACGGGTGTCACTCTCTTTTTTGTGAATAGGCATCACTGGTTAAGTGAGACAACTAGTTGGCAGTATTCATAAGGTTTTGGCTGTATGTGTTAAAAGGTTTGCACATTTAAATGGCCAGCAAGTATACAAGTGTGACCTTTAATTGACTGTTATTTTACTGAAATTGTGTGCATAACTATTTAAGATTTGGTGTACAATGCAGAGTTTGCATAGAAAGATGAAGAAGCAAATTTATAGTGAGGAAATTGGATAGAGGACTAGGAAAGTGGGATTCCCAAGGCTTTACACCTAATAGAGAGGACTTGCATTTGTGGAAACATTTTTCATCACATGATCTGCCTTAAAACTGATATAGAAAGCACCTTTATGATGGACTTGGGGACGAAGGGTATTCTCTCCAAATAAAAGTTAAACGTACACAAGAAATTGATTGCAAAATTTTGATGGTATTGACTCCACATGGCTGCTCTTAAACGCCTTACTGCTCTTTGACTACACTATAACGAAGCCAAAATTGCATTTTGACTAGAACATTCTACTGGTGAAACCTGTAGACAAACTTTTTAAATTGCACTTTGAATTAAAAAATTGAGGATGGAATAGGGAACCCAACTTTAAGATCCTAAATATCTTCACTTTTTTTCTGCATAGGTGAATTATGTACTCAAATGATGAGTATTTTCATTGATGTCTGCTTTGTTTTTCCTAAATTTTTGTAGATTACCTTCCACGGCTGCTCTCAGAGAAGAAGGATTATGCCCATTGATGCCTGAGGAAACGGTGCTTATGCTTGCAGCCCTTGGTTTCAACCGAAAAACGCGCATTTATCTGGCAGGAGCACATATTTACGGAGGGAAGTCAAGATTGACTGCATTAACTACCTTGTTTCCTAATCTGGTTACTAAAGAGAACCTGCTCTCTTCAGCTGAAATTGAACCATTTGCAAATTTTTCATCTCAGGTAAACTTTTATCTTGCCATTAGCATTTGAGATCTAGCCAGTTAGTTTGACAAGGCATCTCCAAATAGTGTCATACCTCTTCTTTCTGTATTGCCGGAAAGTCGTTACTTGCTAACGGTGTATGCTATTTCTAATGTAAAATTTGGTTGTTAAACCCCTTGTAAACACTTCTGCAAAACAGAATTGCAGATGGGTATGCAGAAAGCTAATCATAGAAGTAATCAGCTTTTGTTTGGAAGTAGGTTACCAGCTCAAATTAACATAAAACACTGAATTTCTTATTTAACCTTCCGGCTTGAGGAGTGACATAATGACTTGACCGTGGAGTTGCTACTGTTGGATTTTTGTGCATTTCAACAAAAGAATGTAGTCTATTTACATATATTTTTCAATCTGCATCTTTCAGTTGTTGAATGGCTTGTTACTTGAAAATTTATTTGCAGTTAGCAGCACTGGACTTTATCACTTGCACAGCTGCAGACAATTTTGCCATGACAGACTCGGGGAGTCAATTTTCATCGTTGGTATCTGGTTACAGAATCTATTATGGTGGGGGAGAAATGCCAACAATTCGGCCAAACAAACGCAGGCTTGCTGACATATTTGTTAAGAACAACACGATAGAGTGGAGCGTGTTTGAGAAAAGAGTAAGGAAGGCTGTGAGACAAACCAAAAGGGTTTTCTCACGTCCTACTGGTCGGAGTGTGTATAGATATCCACGGTGTCCAGAGTGTATGTGCAGTGACCAGCCCTGATGTACTTTTTGGCGACTTTCTGTTAGCATTTAGGCAGTGTATTTGTAGGTAAAACATTCTTTCGTAAACATTCTTTTGGGCTTTTGATATCAGATTTTACTGGAGGTCCAAGAATAGAGGTTGATTCAGTGTACAAATATAAAACAAACTTCAATTTGAGAAAAGTGGACTATTTATTGCTTTCGATTCCTCAAGGACTCGGGTGGAAATTTGGCCTGGCCCGTTCAGGGCAAGGTAAAAGTATTCCTTTGGTTCGTGAGATGCTGGTTACGTTTGCTTTGTGGCTTCAATAAAGTCCGCCTTACTAGTCTTAAAACTGTCAATTGAACAATCAGACAAAGATGACCTTCCAGTCTTGAGGGAAAGGAAACGCCATATACAATATATTTTGTTCAACAAGGAGACGCTATCAATCCTTTGACATTTTTATTAGCTGGAGGCTCTTGAATCCACACTTCAAATATTTAGCATGACATGAAAGCCGTTAGCATTCAATGCTCTAAAAGTAAGAATCAAGAATTATGGGTTGATGTTGCGTGGAAATTTTTGTACTAGTACGTCGCCCACAAAACAGATTTTGTAACAGGATCACTGCTCTCAAACTACATAAAACAAAAATTTCAGAACGGGAGTAAACTCATTGGAATGCATAGGGGGGGTTCCTTATTGAGGGGGGGCAAAAATAAAAATATTTGTCCAACGATACAGACTTAACATTTATTGATTTCAAACTTAAGATAACGAAACAGGCAATACAGACAATGGGATTCTCGCGATATGATCCAGACTTCCTGCCAAAACAATTTCACCAAAGCTGAAGTCATCGAGTGCTTGAGTTACATTGAGTCTTATTTCCAGGTCTTGTATTCCTTGAGGGGCTACCCTAAACCAGGGCGGATGGATATCGATCATCACTCCAGCTGGTGGTAGCACACCGCATACATAAGTCTCCGGTTTGCTTGCCACATTCGTCACTCTCCTGTGTACTGTTCTTGATCCTGAAAGGGCTGTTATCGTCACTGAAGGCAGGTTGAGGTCAGCTGGGCTTCCAAAAGAGGAAGTACACGGTCCTCCAGTAGCCGTTCTAATCGATGCTGGATCCAGGTTTGGAAGAGAGCACAAGAAACTAATGTAGTCTTCGTATCCTGTTTCATGACCATGCATGCATGAAAACGAATTAATGCAGCTGCCGGGAGCCAGAAAACGAGATTTTCTTCCTATTGAACAGTGGAAATAATTATGTCCCTTGTGATCTTACCAGCAGAGAAAACAAGCCCTGGATCCATAGCACGACTGGGATTGACATGGCCAGCACCAAAACCAAATGGAGCAGCAGTATACAAGCTATCAATTTCAAATCCATGAGCCATTATCTGATCTCCCTGATTGTCATATTTTGTTGCAGTGGTTGACATTGCTGAAGCAATCATGGATGGGGTCCATTTAGGATTATTTTGCTTGATGAGCGCAGCTATGCCTGAAATGTGAGGTGTCGCCATGCTAGTACCAGATATTAGAGCAAAATTTTGTCCTGAAAATCGTTAAGCTATATCATGTTCGGGTTAAAAAAAAAAACTTGGTTATCTTTATGCGAGAATGATCAAAACTATGGAACTAAATAGAGCTTGAAAAGGTGAACTCATGTAGTACCAGCTAGCATGGGATCTGAAGCACTCAATGGGCTCCAAGCTGCCCAAATTTGATGCCCTGGAGCCAAAATATCTGGCTTAAGCACATCAGTAGGATTCTTTCGTTGGTCTATGTAATCAGGACCCCTTGCGGAGAATCTGCTGACAGTAGGTGCACGTCCCATGCAAGCAGCAGTCCTTCCCTCACCTATTGCTGCTCTTCCGCTGTAACTGATTACCAATCCTCTCTTATCACGACTAGTTTGCTCTTCGTAGTATTGGGATATTAGCTACAGGGGAAAGTCATTTGATTCATCATAATTCAAGTTGCAATAATATTCTCTGGAAATATTAATTTGCATGTAAAATTTGCATACAAGTGCATCACTTGTTCTTGGGATCATTATGCTAGGAACAGAGAATGGAATAGGTTCAGCTATAAAGTCTCCATATCTTGGGTTTGCAACAAGCACAAAACCTACGAAACCAAGAACTTTTGCTGTGTTTATGATGGCAGTAAGGTTTGAAGTTCCATTGTAAAAGCCGTCTGAGAATGTGCAGATCACCACACTTCCTAGCACCACAGCAGGATCTAGTGCCTCAGGATATTGGCATTCTTCTATATACTGTGAAATCCTAGGAAAGTTTCCATTCCTAATTACTGCATCTTTCGCTAAGATCAGCCTATGTTGAAGTAATCCTTGTCCAGAACTCGGACCTAGAAAGAGAACTAAGAAATCCAATTATTACCAAAAAAAAGACAGAAAAAAAGATAGAAGGATACAATTCACTTCTGGTACTACTAAGAGCACCAGAAGTATTTACCTGATAGTCCCACGCCGCCAATTTTTTTACCATTGCCTAAAATAAGAGTGCCAGGGTAACTTCTGTCAGTATCTGAAGCAGCCACACCAACTGTCCAAGGGCTATATGACACCACAGTATAAGGACCGGGACCTCCATTACCCACAGCTTGAATGACCAGAATTCCAGCCTTGTTTGCTGCTAACATGAAGATTTCGAACGTGCCTAAAAATGTAATCGCATCTTCTGGTGGTTGGTCTGGTCCTATGGAGAGTGTTAGAATATCCACTCCATCCAAAACTGCCTGCAACAGTCAATCAAGTTAAAATCTAAAGTTCAATGAGAATCTCAGCTTACCACTCGCTACACACACACACATTCATCTGTGCTTAATGAAATACATAGAGTCGGTGATTACTTGGTCAATTGCTGCAAGTACATCTGTTAGAGCTCCCACGCTTGGATAAATAGCTTTGTACACTGCAATACTGAAAAGTATAAAAGCCTGTAATAAGAGTCCAATATTAAAAACATCAATAACCTAGTAATCCTGCTTTAACCATTCCGATTTGCGTGAGAAATGTTAAGGGCCTTGTAATAATGGCGTAAATAGGTTACTTGGAGAGTTCATGGCCTTTATTCCTCATCTTACGACAAGGGTTAGATTCTCATTCATTCTCATCATCTCCTTTCCCCATAGGCTTCCTGCTTATTTCTTCCCACCACACTACAAATGCACTCCTAAATTTGTATCACTTTCTCACTTTGCACGTAAATTTTAATTTTAAACACTTTGCATCCTCTAATCTTAAGTTTGTCCCGTTTGAATCCAATGAATAATTACGTTTGCAAAATTAATGAAATTAAGGAGGGCAAAAATTAATAATAATGTACTGTCTTATTCTAATTGTGATCCCTTAGCTTTTTTGTGACCATTTTTAGTGCACTGTCATTAATTTATATAATCACAATCACTGCTATTATTTAAAAAATTAATGAGATAAAAAATGATGTGAATTAATGATAATGTATTTTTTTAAAATTTTTGCTACAATACCTTAGTATTTTTTACCACTTTCAACACGTTACCTTTGATTTGTTGGGTACTTTATGATGTTAATTTTTCTAAAGTTGTCATTGATTGGATTTGGATGGAACAAACTTGAGAGTCTAGAGTGTAAAGTGCCCAAAATTAAGAATTTAGGGTGTAAAGCATTCAAAATTAAAATTTTGGGGGCAAAGTAAAAAAGTGATTTAAGTTCAGGGGTGCAAAGTGAAGTTAATCCTATATCTATATATATATAGAACACCCTACCGTGCACGTGGGGCCATGCCACTGGCTTTTCCGTAGTAGAATCCATCAACTACAACTGGAACTCCAAAGTTTCCAGCGGCAATTGAAGCCACATGACTGCAAAAAGAGAAGATATATTTTTCCGTTAAGTAACGGGAAATTCTTGTGTTCATGCATGACGAGCAATAAGTAGCAAATTAGTCTTGAAATGCAAAAATTTCTTTCTTGAATTCGAGAAACTGTAACGATCAGTTTCACTGTACCTTCCATGTCCTGCAGCATCAAAGGGTGATAGGAAATCCATTGAGGCATTAAGCGCAGTAGCTGCTTGTGCTCCAGCTGAGAAAAACCTAGCAGAAACTATTTTACCATTGCAGGAAGTCTCAGGAAACAGAGGACCACTCTCACAAGTCCCCGAAAAACGAGGAAGTTCTGATATATAAGGATTGGTTGGGTCACCAGCAAAGCTGGGGTGAAGAGGGTCGATGCCCGAGTCCACGAAACCGATCACAGTTCCTTCACCAGCATTTCGATCTCCTCCTTCCTGAGTCCAAACCGCTGGCAACCCTAAGAATTGTGGTGTATAAGTTGTCATTACTTTGGCTCTCCTGTCTCTCTCTACAATCTTAACCCCAGGAGCTTTCTTTATTCTCTCAACCTGATTTTAGAAAAAAAAATTTTTTTACCCCAATTGTCAGTTAAAGCCGAACAAGAGACAATGCATAAAAGTAGTGAGAAAAATTGAGCACTAACGATGATATAATCTTCAGGGTTTTACCTGAGATGGGCTAGTATGGACTGCGAATCCATTAACAATGTTTTTAAAGCTGTAAAGCTTGGTGTAGCTTCCTGCGTCTAAAGCAGTTTGAAGAAGCTGGTCATGGGAGTCGATCAGGTGCTTTGCATGAGACTTGGAGGCCTCACTAGTAGTTCAAACAAGAATAGAACAAAATAGTTTCCCATATAACATTTTCAAATATAGAGAACTTGACTACGTGGGAGGCTGATCAGGAAACTATTTTAATCTTCCATGATTTATTTTAGATGTGTAAACCAAAAGGCACAGAGAAATTATTACCTGTTGGGATCGGATCCTTCTCCTTTCTCAGTTGGCATTGTACCAGAATTTTTTTGATGATGAAATACAACCGGCTCACCTTCCATTAGAACTATGTATATGTCGCGCTCTTCTGCAATGCATGATATAGCAATCACAAAAGTGAGAAGTTTTCTAGTCAGAGATGAAATCCAGACAGCTCTCCTACTTCTTGCCATGATTAGGCAACAGTGCTCAGAATCCAAAGCTGCGTTTAGGGTTTCATTGTCCCTGGAAAATTAATGTACCCTCTCTCTTATAAGCCATGCAAAGCCAAAATTGTAATCGCATGGTTGGCGTGAAAGAAAGCTGTTTTAGCAAGCTTTTCAGCTGATCTTAATGAAACCGACTGTTACTTTTTTTCTGCTTTCCACTATTTTTGTTCAAATTCTAGACAGAAAAACTGTTGCTGAGATGTGTTTATTGTCGTCTACCCGTGTTATTGCTCCCTGTTCACGCTAGCCAACCTTGCAAGTCCTACATACACTGCAAATCAGCAACATAGACCCAGTTCAAGACCCCTTTTCCGAAAGTCACTTGGCTCTTGTTGCAGGAGTCGGCAACGTAGCATTATATCCCGATCAATTAAATATTATGTCATTTTGCTCCGTTGATTCGCTGCTCATGTAGCTGAGCTTGATATTCCACGGTCTTTAGCCAGCCTTTAATAGTGTTTTACCGGGTTATTTAAGGTCCTCTGATCATAAAATCAAGGGGCAGTCGTCTTTGATAGGTGATAGATGCAGCTATTTTTTATCACCTAAATGAACAGGATTAATTGCTAGCCAACATCCTTTTATGGCGTACAAGCAGCACTCCTTCCGCAGCTTGGAATAATTATATAGTCGTGTTGAGAAGGAAATGAATCAAAATTCTGCTGATCTTCCATCTAGCAGCAGAATCAACTACCACTGCAAGAGTCAATTACTCATGAAGCATAAAACCTAATGAAGGTCCTCACAACGATCATATGCATATTTAGCCTATGCAAAGATAGTAACAATCCAAATTCTTTGCTTGACACTGAAGATTCAAAACCAAAGTTAATTTATCTAAAATTTTGTTTCAGATTTTCAACAGCAGAAGCATCATTCTGAGCGCATCACAAGCTACAAAACCATCTACCAATATGCATGCAACCACGCATTCAGGAACTGACATAATATATCCACTACAAATAGACACATGTTCTAATCTTCTACAATATACAACATCACAACAACATCAGATTTATGAAAACTGGCAATCCCTCCAACCAGCAACGTTGTGCTTCCCCCCGGCTTACTTCTTCCGCCGTTTCCGTTCCACCTGTAAGAAATCAGAGGCTTTATTAATATTCGAAAGAGATCAATAACAAAAATTATATTCCTTAAATGTTAGATAAATTAAAAGAAAAAGCATAAACTTAACTATTCCTGCCACATGCATTCCAATACAAGCGGGAGGAAAATTTTCCTATGATACCAGTGAACTTGCAAACGCTCTTGTGACAAAAGTAATCATACATTCGAGTAGGGTTGTTATAATTTCTAGAACATTGCCTTGGCACAGCCCAATGTCAATAAACAAAGTGCGGCATATGACATGCGTTTTTTTTCACCTACACTACAATTCTTTGTCAGATGTTACACACTTCTGTCCAATTAATAAGACAAAAGAATTTACTGCCAGTGCAAACCAATAAGTAAGAAAAAATTCCATCAGACCCATTACCAGCATTGAGCTACTTCCAGACAGTTTCTGTCATACAGACAATAGAAAATATAGAATACTGGACAAACTTTAAACTGGAGATTTTGCAAGGGTTAAACAGTAAGGTAGCATGTAATCCAAGGACCAAACACTAAAGATCAAGCACTAAACATGACAGCATTTTTTACAAATATTCGTACAAAACATATTCAAGAGGTGATTGAGACCTTCTAAAAGAGTCAGGTGATATAGTCCTAAAGAAAGAAGTAATTCCATTTGTAACTATACTTTTCTTCTTTCTTCTTTCTTCTTCTTTTTCCTTATTTGTTTCCCCATTGAGCACATACTTGTACGTGCAGATGGTGCATATGATGGAACAGAAAGTTTTGCTGTTCAAAGGACCAATTTGAATGTTTGCCTGATCATATTCAGAAGAGATACTTTCTCCAATAAAAATAAGCAATTTCCAACATTCACTTGCCCTAAATTTCTCTATGTAAATTGTAGAGGTGCTTTTGGTCACTAGGGAAAACATAAGGGTGGATGAACTAAACCTTTTTACATAATTTTCAACTCTGCCAGAAACCTATTTTCAAGACCACAACATCTTAAAAACTCTCTTTCCCTTTATAGTAGTTTGTACTCACCCTCCTATCTCAGAACATATCTGAGTCAATAATTTAACATAACCCTCTCTCTCTCGCTCACACACACACACACAAAAAGAAACATTCAGAAACTTTACCTGTATATACAGGTGTTGGTTCCTATTCTCTCTCTCAATAACACAGACACTGATACACACAAACCAACACACACACAAAGAATTTATATCTCTATATGCAAGCATGACTGCAGGTGTGCAGGACTTGTCTTCTACTTTGAAAGCTGAGAAGCCATTCCAACAATTTCTGTCTTTTCTCCAGCCAGTTGACCATATATACTCATATTTTCTTTAGTACAGTCCTTGGCAAAAGAAAAGTGTTAACCATGCCAACTCATCCCATGAAGATGGGGAATAGAACCAAATTCTTAAAGGTCAACATCCACGATCATATGCTGAAGTAACTGCCCAACACAAGGAAAGGATGACATGGAAAACTTAAAAGAGTGTAAAACATTGACAGTCAAATGGCTAGGAAACAGAAACATTTTATTGACTAAATTCTCCCCACCAAAAGTTCAATGGAGCATCATAGAAACAAAATTAAATTAAAAAAAAAGAGATTGTATTCGATTAGAAGTCACGTGCGAGGATGGTATTGACCTGAAACTAGTAGTAACTACAAAAATTTCAATATGGTCAACAATCAGTGGATATTGGACAAATGTACATTTATCATCAAACAGTAGGTGATAGAGCACGGTCTGTTGTTACATTTACTTTATGCAATCTTAAACTAACGTTGCCTTCAAGCAATTCATGTTTTTTGAAAAGTTCTAGACAGACAACTATATTTGGGCAAAATCTGCATATAATGAGCCTCACCTTTCCATTCATTATTGGAGATTCAGTTAATTTGGTCTGAGGCTTTTTCACGTCAGCAGGTGCACAATCAGAACAAACAAACATATCCAATTGCTTTGCCTGTTCAATGCTCATCCCAACACAATCAGGATGAAACCTATCAAGGAATCAGATATTGTTGCTTAGAAAAATTAAGACTGGGGAGACTACAAGGTATAAAAGCAACTCAGAAAGGAATAAACAAATACTTTAGCAAAGGCTAGTTATTCCCACACTAGCACATAAAACTTTAATTATATATTCTTTCTTCACTTTGAGGTGGAAGAGGGAATTTTTGCTGAAAAAAGGTGAAATACTCATGATAAAGAATGATGGGCAGTATTCCTCTCCAGAAATAAAAGAAGATGCTTCAAAAACATCATCTTTTTAACAATCTACATCTTGCAAATATGAAAACTCAAGGTGTATCATTAGCAAAAGATACCATTCTTCAAACAGCATTTAGTTCCTCCTCTTTGCTGAAAAGGGATAAAAAAGCAATCCTTATATCCCTATATCTTAAAGCCCTGCAATGCATACAGTTGATAAAACCTTTCTCCCTTGTTTTCCCTATTGCAACTAGATCTAAGGGATGGGAAGTCTTTTTAAGTGGCAGAAAGCATTTTTTCCGAGCTTCTTTATCTGAACAATTCAATTACACCCTGAAAATTCAAGGTCCAACTAATACAACTACAACCACAAATGAATCAATAGAAGCACAAGAGAAAGTTGGTGAGTAATACCAGTCTTTGCACCCATCGCATTGCACCATCAGATCATCAGGGTTATATGGCATCTCGCATTTGCAGTACCTTCATTATGAACCACAAAAGAGTGCTTAGTAACTAAAGGAAAGATCATCTTAAAACTATACCAGGCACACACATAAAATACTCACACTGCAATACGGTCAGGAAGAAAAGCACCAGTAGCAGCTTTATACTCAAATCGGCAATAGTAATCTTCAGGCGTTACATTTTCAAGTTTGGTATAATTTTTGAAAGTATGGACAATGCACTTCCCTTCAATAGTATCGGCACTCTGAACATCCAAATGGTCTGACAAGAATAACTCCTTTGCTCCATGGAACTGCCTACGCCCTCCAAGTGACTCCTCTGGCCTATAATACCACCTTACTCGGACCTTGCAGTTGCTTCGATTATCAGCCTCAATCTTCTCAACACGTGCCACGTACGGGGCCTTATCAATTTCTGATGGGCGCATCAACACACAATCCGCAGCTTCAAATCCACAAAAGAGAATGGTAAACAAACATCAATTACTAAACACATCAAAAAATTTTCTTTGACAAGTTTAGTTTCAGTTCCAATACAAAGCAAGGCACCATAAATAATAAATCTATCCCATAACAAAAAAAATATCTCCATAACCATCCATCCAGGACCAAGAGCCCATTAATATTTCAGTTACATTTTTCCCTTGGCTCAAACAAGAAAAGTACAGAATAAAACACTTGTTAATTACATGCTCCCAAATACACTGTCTCTATTACATGCATAAAAAAGTCTGCATGTACTAAAGAGTGTCCTACATTACATTAGGAAGACAACCGGATAAGCGGCAAATGGATCTAAATATATCCAAACCAATTAGAACCATTGACTTAATGGATCTAAATGAATAGGATATATAATGGATAAATGAAAAACAATTATCCATTTATTTAACCAACTCCCCCAACACCTAAAACAACTAAATCCTCCTCTGTCATAGTCGATCCACAAGTACTCCAACTCCAACCCATAGGAAGCCTATGCAAAACAGATACCTAAACATGCACATGTATACACACCACTTAATTTCCATTTGCACCCTCTCCTCTCAGTCCTGGATTTCGAATCCATGATTCAAATGCTGCCGAATAGTAATTAAGAGCATTCTTCAAACAGGTTAAATGTCCAACGCAGTTCAAAGTACCTTGTATTTGCCCAAGTGATTATATTCATCGTTCGGTAACTTGGCAAGCTTCAGCGCAGCCTTAAATTGCAAACTTATCATCATCCATGCTACTACCTCATTCGGACCAACCAAAAAACATGCCCCAATTAATTCCTCTATTGGAGGTAAAAAATGACTTCAACTCCAAATTCAGATCTAGAATATGAATAAAGTTCGCCAACACTTCCCAATGGCCACAAGAGCAGCTTCTTGAGACTCCCAAAGCGTGGAAGTAGAACTACAGAGATGGCAACTCTTTAAAGTTTTCAGGTGGTTAAAGCTTGTAACAGAGCAGCTGAGTGTTTAAGTGTGTGAACAGTTTGGACTACAGAGAAACACTTTTTTTCTTTTTTGGTTTAATAATTGGATTTGTATGGATGTATTGGATAATCCATGCAAATGCACCAACTTATGTGATTTAAATGGTCATCCATTTAAAGTCATTTAGATTATTCAAGTAATCCAAATCCATTTAGTCGAGGTTTATATGGATGAATAACAGGATATGTACTCTAATTGCCAGCTCTAGACAACTGCATTCCCCAACCCCCCATTTAGTCGAGGTTTATATGGATGAATAACCGGATATGTACTCTAATTGCCAGCTCTAGACAACTGCATTCCCCAACCCCTCAAGGCACATTTAAAGAAAACCCAAAATTTTTTCTGGGCTCTTCGTGAAAAGAAAAGGTCAAACGTAAATTCATTCTAGAATTAGCTATCACAAGCCAAAAAAGACAAACCTTGCACTTTGTTACATGCATGTAAACTCAATTAGCACAGAGCTTACGCCAAACAAACATCATTAACCCCCAACCCTCGGCCGAAAAACACTTCACTTCCCAATATGAAACCCCTTGCCTGAGCATATCAAAGTTGAAAAAATAAAAATAAAATCATACGAATAATTCATCGATACAAATATTTGTAACATACAACGAGATAGGATATGTAAAATGAGAAAAATAGGCAACAAGCTATAAATATATATATATACCTCTGACAACTTTGTTGGTGCCCTTGATTGTGTATGAGTCCAAGTCCCGCTTGCCAGGTCTGGTTTTGGCCATGGGAGAAATGGAGAATGGGAAATGGGGAACAAGAGATAGAGGAAAGAGGGTTTCTTTCTTCGACTGTGCTGTGCTTTGGTTTGCAGTAAAGACTGAGAAGCTTTACTGGGTCCGTGGTAAATAAACGACAATTGTATACCAAATGGTAAAATTCGTAGGGATCGGGATTGTTTTGTGGGCTGCGAAGATATAGGGGCACTGGCATAATTTTGGTGAAAGGCTATCTGTTTATAAACTCACCACTTGAGGTTAAATGCACAAATCACAACAGTTCTTTTTGGATTTTGGAAATCCTACCGGCTGTTATGATTTAGGACTGTCAATAGGTCCAGTTAGTCCGAGCTTGTTTAATGGGATCGGACCGAATCTGGGTTTGAATGTTTGGTTCGAATTAAATGTAGAATAAAATTTCTTTCTAATGTAGATAATTGTACATAAAAAAGTGGATAAAAGTTGAGCAGATTAGGTGAGAGTTGGGAGTCAATATGAAAATGTGAATAACCTCAACAAATAACTGATGCAAATAGCTCTCTCCTAACTGTGGGGAATTTTTTTTTTTTTATTAATAAACTAGGACAAATTTACAGAAATGTTGGCACTAAATTTTCTAGGTAAATCTGTACATAATGTGATTTACACTCAAATCTATTAAATTTATTATTTAACAATTTACTAACTTAATGGATCCAAACTTTAGATTTCAAATTTTAAATTTTAGATTCCAGTTTCAAACTTCAGTTTTGTCATACGAGCCCAATTGGTTTGCCAAGTGGTGTCCTGAAATTGTATGTTTTCCTTAGTGTTATTCTCAAATTATTCAAAATTTGTATAATTTAGCATCGTTGTCTAATTAACATAATACTACAATGAATGAAATACTTCTCTATTGGAGAAGCATTTAGGAGAAAATCAAGGAAATCAAAAAATTGTCTTCTAATCTTTTAAGTTATTAATCATAATCTAAAGGGATAATTTCATAAACCTTTCCTGCATTTTTTAACAATTGCAACCACCTCCCTTGATATTTGAAAAATTATAGAAACCTCCCTTAAAAATTATGTTTTATAACAAATGATGATGTAAGCACAAAAAAATTCTAATGAATACCCTATATCGTGCCTATTGGATTTACAAAACAAATTGAATGACAAAAGAAATCAAATATCAATATTGCTTGCTGAGTAAAAAATGTTAAGGTAGCTCTTTATAGCAAAATTTATGCCATGTTTCAAGGCATCATTTTTTAATGTTTGGATTTCATTTTCTTTTTCCCCTTGCTAAGTAAGTTGTGAAGAAGCTATTTTTAGCAAATGCATTCCTACTAGTTGGCTATTTATAAAACGTAGCAAGAAGTCCATTTAAATGACTTAGGTATTGAATGTAATGTATTAGGTGAGATGAAGTTAGAACTTTTGGATAAAGAAATATTTGCAAAATGTGATTTTCTTTTTTTTTTTTCTTACACCCACTTTTCACTTAAGATTTATAGAGTTGCCAAGGCTATTATATAGTCTTTTCATAACAATGTAGGAAGTGAGTGTAATTTTTCAAATTTTAAGGAGGTGGTTGTAATTATTAGAAACTTTAGGGGAGGTTTATGAAATTATCCCTAGTCTAAAATGTAGACCGAGGTCTTAACAGTTGGGTAAAAAAATGAATCTCAAGAATTTGCAAAGCACTTCGTTATATCTTTATATATTAATTGTATTTTTTTGAGACATTATCGTTAATATTGTAACACTTTTTGCGACGTATTGTATGAGATAAAATTATGATTAGAAATATTTAAAAAAAAGTAGAAAAATGGGTAAATGATACAAGCAAAATAATATTTGAAAAAAAATGGTATCCGAATGCAATCATTAAAGTAGTATCTTTAAAATTTTATTCATGCGCATTTTAATTTTTTTTAGTAACTTATTTTTTATCTTTAACAAAGCACTTATTGCTTTTATGTATCCTTTTATATATATCTATTCACTGCTTTGAGATATTCTAAAAGATTATAATATGTTGACATGTGTCATTTTCAAATATCACTAAATTATTTTAATTGTAATAAATTTAATCAATGTTATCCAATGGTCATCTATAAGTCAAATTCAAATATCCAAATCCCTATACAGCACACAACATAGATTCAGATGTCTAAATCCATATATAGCATGGGACATAAATTCAAATGTCTACATTCATACTGTATTCTAAAATTTAAATTGATAGTCATCTATAAGTTTTTTTTTTTCAAAAGTCATCTATAAGTTTTTAAAAAAGCAAATGATAGTTTCACTCCAAAAAAAAAAAAAAAAAAAATTCTGCCACTTTCATTCTTCTTGTTAACTTAGTAAAATGGCACAAAAACACATCAAATATTATATGTAACAAAAATACCAAACTATGCATAACCAATAACTTTTGTCTTTTCAATTCATTTAGTTTTTCATACTTTTAATTTAGTTTCAAATTTTTATTCAACTAATAATAAAGGGAATTCCTAATGACGGTGATTTTAAAAAATACCCGTGTTTATATGAGTTGTTTAATAGTTCTTGAATAAAATACTAAATTTTGTGATTTGGAGTTGTCTATTATTATTGAGGATTTATTATTTTATATGTGAATTTTTACAATTTTAAACAATATTAATTTTTTTTTTTAGAAATAAAAGATTAAGATTTTGTGGTTAACCAAGTAGAGGTCTCCCTAATAGTAATATAAAATGATCATTTAACTATGCCTCGAGAATACTTTTGAGATCCAAATTATTAGAGAATCTAAACTACAGGCATTTGTAAATGTACAAATGATAGTAATACGTAAATGAAGTTATCTTGTATCACTGGTATTAATCTTATAAACTTGCGCCGGTGGCTATCGCATTTCTACAGATGCTGTCGTTCCAGCTTTTGCGTTTCAGGCACCTCTTCCTTCCACCTCCATTTCAGAGCTGCTTTCTTGTTTGTTGCTCATCTGCGGTGCCGTCGCAACTTTACCCATTTTAGGAGACCTCCATTTCGGGGCTGCTTTCTTGTTCCTGCCATAGAATTTCCAAAATTCTGGCTATAGGGCTCAGCTATCTTCCTAGGTCCTCCAGTTATTGCATTTGATTGTGCAATGAGAAGCAGTTGCACATGAAGGCATTTCTCTTCAAACATGACTGCACCACACCTAATTTCAAGCTATAAGAAGAGACTTGATGAGTAAACTCCTACTAAACGTGGATGCCAGGTTAAAGACCGGTAGCTTAACCATCATATTCATGCATGCTGGATAACTGGACAGTGCTTTTATACATCCAAGCTTCAGCAATGCTAGACCTCTCTCTCCTTCTTTGTTAGGTAAAAGAGACAACAGTTTTTCATTCAGGATTTCCACAGCAGCAATGCAACTAAGGGAAAACGTTACAGCAAGTAAATGCAAATTTGACCTAGATGTGAAATCATCGACCATATTTTGACAAATGAGACATATCCACATCAAGGCAAGGTCCAATGCACCCCAGCAATTAAGGGAACCAAAAGGGTAAAAGATGAAGAATTGTGCAAGTTGAAGCAACTTGACACGTACTAAACAAGAACACTTGAACAGAAACTTAAATTTGATTGTGCCTCTTGGCTTGTTGAATTTTGGCAAATAACTAATGACGCGAGATATCATTTACCGCAAGCAATCAAATAGAGGAAAAAACAGATAGGTGACCACGAGACACAGCTAAGGAAGACAAATCAAGGAAGAGACTCTAGTGAACTGTTCATCAACACGTACGTTATGCTTTGTAGCCAATGGGATCATGAAGACTTCGCCCTTCCTCCATCTTAACCCTAGATGCAAAAAATCCATAATCTAGGTTCAAAGTTATTGATCCACCTTGAAACCTTGTTCTCCTATGCTGTACATTCATCAACACTTTAGTACTTGTTACTATGAAAATACATGAGACTTGCAATTTCAAGTGAATTAAAACTGTAGAAATGTTGAAACTAGAATACTTTTTTTGCCTGTTTTTAGAGCGTGAACACTGCGTAAAAACTCTGGTAACTGAACTGCAACTTGTAAAGGGCTGCATAACATGCTCCTTAATGAAGCTAGTTTCTGTCTACAGTGACCAAAACTTTTTTAACTCCGAAACTGGAGATGAACAATGCCTAAAACTGAAAAGGGTCTTCCTCTGGAAGTCGCAAACACCGAGAAGGAATTAACAAAGGCGAAGGTGAGTCCCACGAAGCCTATTTGGATTAAGGTATTACTAGTAAGACAGGAGGCCTGGAGATCTAGGTTGCGGTTATATTTATACCCTAGCAAAACAGCGAAGCAAAAGAAACAATAAAAAGAAGCGCAACCCAAGATTTTAACAATTAACGTCAACAAGAGTAAAGGAAAACAGATACTGCTAAAGAAAGGAGAAGACAATTCGCACCTTAGACCTTACACCTTAGTTAAACTAGATCTTGGTCGTCTTTTTGGAAACATGCAACTGCCCGAGTCAACAAAACTGATCACAATTAATTCCTTCACCAGCATTTCTGTCTCCTCCTTCCTGAGTCCGGGCTGCTGGCAACCCTAAGAAGTATGGTGTATAAGCTGTCATTGGTTTGGCTCTCCTATCTTTCTCTACCATCTTGACCCCAGGAACATTCTTTATTCTGTTAACCTGAATTTTAAAATTTTTCTATTTGTCAATTAAAGCCAAACAAGAAACGATATATGAATGTAGCAGAAAAAATTGAGCATTGATAAACGTGTTCAGGGTTTTCCCTGAGATGGGTTGGTATGGACTGCGAATCCATTAACAATGTGTTTAAAGCTGTGCAGAGCCTTGGAGACTTCACTAGCATTTCAATCAAGAATAAAATATTTTCCAGATAAGATTTCCAAATATAGAACTTGGCAACATGGAAGATTGATTAGGAAGCAACTAACTCCTCCATGTTTACTGGATCTGTAAACGAAAGGCAGTGGAGAAATTACTACCTGTTGGGATCCAATCCCTAACCTTTCTGATCGGTCGGCATCGTTCTAGCTAGTATTTCCTTGATGAAATGCAACTGGCTCACCTTCCATTAGATCTAAGGTAATATATCGCCCTCTTCTGTAACGCAAAATCTTGCAATCGGAAAATGAGTAGTAGTCGAGTCAGAGATGAAATCCATCTAACTCTCCTTGCCATGATTGGGCAACAATAATCAGAATGC